TTTTTCAATTCTTTCTGTTTACAGTTTAATTGATACGTGATATTTGAAGTGAAAAACAGCAAACCTATGATTTAGTGAATAATGTCATAATATGTAAAACACGCATAAACATCACGCGTTTTGCGTACGTTTACCAGTTTTATTTAACTGTGTTAAAAATCTGACATGATCCGACTGAAACTGAATTAGTATATGACGAGCAAACGGCAGCCACATATTTATCCAAAATTAATGGCTCAAGCAATTATAATAAATTGTTGGCAATTTTTTCTAACTAATTGAAACACTGTAGAGCTGCGTTCGAATGCATTATTGCCTTAATTAAACAAATTAAATCTTAGTTTACTACTTCAGGAAATTGTCGTATCAAGTGCACAATTAAGAGGTTGTTTGTTCATCGATCCTTACTGTGAAGTTTAATTTGATTTAAGTAAGTTAGTTTTTTGGCAGGATAACTAGATTTTGAGATTGCAGTTGAGACTCCAAATAAGAGCCTTAAAAAAATTACGTACAATCATCGGTTTAACTTGTCAAATTAGGTCTATGGCGAACTGAAACAAGTTTTTCGATTTTCCTACCTTGTTGTTGGTATGTATTTAGGTAGTTATATCGATGCCATAAATTGAAGGTACGAACGCTGCAAAGGAATCATACATATTCTAACTACAAAGTCTATAAAAAAGCCGATTTGCTCTTTAATCTGATTCTCTCTCAAGTCTTCAGCAGCGCGAACTCTTGTAGTTTTAATAGAACATTGGTTTTAAAAAAGCGCATTTTTTTCGAAATCTATAATTAGGTACAAGAATTGTCATCTGTCTTAAAAGAAAGAAATTTATCACGCCTTCAATTACGAATTTATGAAGAGTAAATTTTTTCTTTGGGTAACAAAACTCTTAGAATCGTATTAAAAAAAATAAATGTTTTTGTTAAATAAAAGTGAATTATTCCTAAGTGAAAGTTGTTGCAATCAAGGTTCTGAACGCTGAAATGATTGCAGTACTTATGAGCAACGGAGGATCAAGCTCATGTAAAGAGTGCACGAATGGAAATATGTATTTATACAGCGTGAGTCAGTGAAGTGACACCCGCTTTAAGCTCATAAGGAATTAGCGACTGGAAAAAAGCGTTCATATAAAAGTGGTGTGGTTGTCGCTAAGGGTGTCCTCAGGGTAACTCAAAATTAAGTTATGACAGACAAGTTTTTTTGTTTAATGGAATAGCCTACTTCTTAATCCAGATTCAGTTTTACATTGGATTGGAAGTATTTTTTGTCTAACATAGTACCTATGTACCGATCTTTCGGAATTCAATAGTTTTGGACATAACGAGATTTAGTGAAGGGCACGCAACAAAAGTAAAATTAATATTATTATGTTTTTCTAAAATAGATGACCTATCATAGAGCAATATTTATTGTATTCGCGAGCTCAGTTTGACGAATTTTCGTTGACGTATTCCCATGGAAAAAAAGTCACAAGGAGTGAGTCAGGTGATCTGGCTGACCAATTAATATTCGCGTCCTTGTCCCTAAACTCTCTATAAAATTGAATACATTTGGTTGTGTTCCCATGTTTAAACGTCGTTATGTTCACAACTATTCATTTTAGTCAAACAGTATGTTATACAGAAAATACTTCAAATCCAATGTAGAAGCTGAATCTGGAATAAAAAGTCTGCTATTAGTTCCATCAAGAACATAAAATTGACCGTCATAACTTTATTTTGGGCCACCACATACACTCCAAAGTAATAGAAATAAATAGTTTATATGAACTGGACTGCTTCACTAAGGTTTTTCGTCTTGCAAATAATGACATTTTTCCACTTTAAACAAATAGAAATTACCATGGTACAAATAGATTTTAGACATAAGATTTCAAACTTAATCCGATAAAGGCTAACAAACTGCAACTGATTTTTTTTTAATGATAATTTTGGGAAACATTCATTTCACTCAGAGCGTAAAACAGCGAAGTAAACTTTCCCGAGTGCACCAAATCTGCTCGTTCCAGAAAATGCGTGAAGGCGGTAGATATTATTATCTCTTTGGGAATTTGCAAATCCTCCAGTTTGTACTTGCAATTATACATATTGTTTCAAGTGTTGCAGTTCATGAATAATAATTCAGTTGGAATTTTCGACCGTCTGACTTTTAATTGGGTTGATAACTATTAGTAACTAAAACTAAATGAAGTACATTAAATCTAAATGCCGCGGATAAAAGTTGTAGCAATGTCACATTTAGAATTTTGACCGGCCGTGAAAGCCTTCATAATTGGTACCATTTTATTGAAATGAGCAAATGCAACCACTAATTGAGTAAAATAAACTATACTAAAACTGATCCGATCAGAGTATCCGCTCTGGCCGTTTTAATTGAGCGATACAGTTCCTAAGCCCATAAATTGGCAACAAATAAAAACATCGCTAGAATAGTAACTGATGAAAAGGGTCTGAATTTAGTAGCCTTTATCGAAAGGGGAACATCATTTCACATCATCAATGATCAATAATTCCAAGAGGAACTCACAAGAACCAAGAATAAACAGAGTTTATGTTCGCTCCAATTAACCTGGTTTATTTGCACTCTTGATTTTGGGGTATTATTGGCTTTAGTTTCAAATCAGGCTTTGACCAATTGCAGTGGTTGTATTATTTAACTGAAGTAACGAAACTTCTTTTTCTCCATCCCGAATCTAATAAATTGGCTTGAGTGGGCCATTTTCCTTATACGTATTTTCAAACTATCTCATGTTTTTTTCACCTACGAGCACGTTTGCATCTGGCAAAATATTATGAGTAGATATGAAAAAAATTAAACGAATTAAGTTGATTATCATTAGAAAATCATTAGAAAATCAACATTGACTTTCATAGTTTATACAATTGGTGTGTACAGTGAGTTTTTGGTAATGTACCTGTACCCTGAAGTAATTTTTTTCACGTTTTCGATCATAACTTGTCAAGAAGTTAGTATTATATTATATTATATTAACATAGTTATTTAATAGGCATTTTATCAGTTCTCGTAGTTGTTGCAGGTGTATGTTTTGTCAGTTAAAAATCTAGAGGATGGCTTTGCATTTTCCGAACTACAATTTCGATATTTAATTTCTGCAGCATTTCAGAAATCGCAAGTCTGTCTTACGTAAATATTCTTCAATTTTTACAGCAATATTATTTCTACTCTGTGGCCACAACGGGAGTAAAGCACTCGATTCAATTCTTCAGAGTAACGTTCATTGAATCCAAACCAGATCGACCTTTGTTATACCAATTGTTGCGTGTGTTTGTCCACCAGAAATCGTTAAAATATAAAAAATTATATTTTCACCAAATTGTTCTAAATCGAATCAACAAGTAGGCCTAATTTCAAACAGATAAATAAGCACGTGTTAGAAATATTAAGGGTCTTAACCACTCGCTAAAAATATTTTACTTCTATATTTTCTTTGTTGCAAACATTAAGATTTGCAAAATTTTAAAAGTGAGCTTTACATTCTGAATTTAGTTTTACGCTGTCTTTTTTCCCGTAAAATGTTTATTCAAAAGCAATTATTTTCAGTTACTTTAAATCAATACAGATAAAAATTCTACAGAGGTTTGGAAAATTTTTTCAAATTTAAAAAACAATTAACAATGTGCATCGCAATTAGCAATGGCTGAAAAGACTGTCATATTATAAAGCGATAGCGATAATCTTGTAAATTTGTGTTGTTTGTATCTTGTCCCCGACTTTTTAACATTTTTAGTTGTTACTTGAAACAAACCATTTTACCCCGTTATTAAAAGTTTTGTAAACAATTAGTAAAATTACTTCAACGCGTTGTTGAGTGATGGCGGAAGAATAATTAATTTTTCCATAATTTTTCGTGGACTGCAACATACAGAATAGGCAACGTTACATATAAATAAGTTCTTAAATCGATCTAGTCTGGACATAAATATGTGGTCAAGCCGTATAACCGATGGATTCGGATATCCTGCGTTGAGGAGGTCTCGAATTGAACATGCATAATTTTAACCACATATTTTCGGGCAAAATTATGAGAAAAAGTTGAAATAGCATATCGAAGAGTTGGTTTTTGATATCCATATCCACCATGTTTGAGATATTGTATTGTTTACATGGATGTATTACGAATTATCTATTCGCATAGGGTTATTTTGCCTCGGTAGCGATTTAATAGAAAATGGATAATTAAATATAAATAATTACTTACGTTTAATGATAAACCGTACACGAGCGTGATAAAAGAACAATGGTAATGTAGGAACAACAGTCTAAAACTTATCTCTTGCGATTTTTAGTGTTCTGTGATAATCATATGAGGACCGGATAATCCGAAACATCAATATAATGATCATAAAACTTTACACAGGGAATATTATTTTTTGGTCGATTAATTGAAAATAATGAAATTGAACTCTAAGACTTATTTAATCAGCATTAACAATTATTAAAGTGTAAGTGTAAAAATAGCAAATACATTCTGTATTTTTAGCAATGACAGGTTGTAGGGACAGATAATTAATGCTTTGAGCAATGGTTTATAAAATAAATTAGTCAGTCTTTTTTGAAGACATTGCAGAATTTAGTTTATTAAATATAAAATTGTTTGATTGATATTTATGTGCACCTGAAATCGATCAAAAATTTTATTTTGCAGGGGTGGTTTTTAATCCGGACACGTCCGAAGGAAATGGTTTTAATTTTTTTTTAATTTACTTTTTTCGATTTACTTTACCCATCATAAAGTTTGCTAAATTTTATTGTTTCCAATGCTCTAATTAAGCAGCAAAATACGTCATCTTGCTCACTAATTCGACGCACAATAATGAAAAGCGCGTGTAAGATTTACAACAAAATCAAAAGGAAACGAGATATAAAATAAAATAAGATGCAAGTTCCTATTAGATCCTTTATTATTATTCACATAAAACAAGTGCTTTCATATGTTTTTATTTTGTTACATATGCATATTAGACTGCATTTATAATTTTATTGGAATAATAAAAGACTTTTGATTTATTTTGCATAACTATAACTATAAATGTTAAGTGATAACTAGTAATGCAGGAGTTAAGCTCTGGTGAGACAGATCAGAAGGTTTTTAGTTATGGCGGATAAAAACTTGCGGCTCAAATTTCTCCTATTTTGCTTCTATAGCTCAATTTGGATATTTTGATTGCATTCAACAAAAACATCAACGTTTAGAATTAAAAATGGATTGAGTTGTTTTTTTTTATTATATGTGTCAAATTTTTTCAGCACCAACAATTTTTTGCCTGCACCCATAAAACATCCGCTTCATCAAAGCACAAAACAGAGCTAACTAAACAAAAATTTAAATCAAATAATTTTTGCAATACCCAACTGAACAAATGGTTCAATATTTCTAAGCACCAGAGTTAAGTTATGTTCGCAGACAATTTCCAATAGGGTTCGCAGTGACATCTGCAAATAAATTGGTGGTTTTTTTTTTGGATTTTGGGACACATATTTTGCAGCAGATAATTCATATCCTTTAATCATTTGCTCACAAGTTAAGGCACGTACTCACAGGATAACAACAGAGTTAACATAAACTGTACCCTAACTCTAGCTGGTTCATAAGCTCTAAAATTCTCATAAACTCAAAAGTTTCTCAAAACTCGATAAACATTTTTCTTAGTAGAAAAGTCAGCATCTCGCAAACATCTCACGTATGTTAACGAAGGAGTATAGGTAATCCACGAACTCAATTAATTCGTCATATTTAACATTAGCACCTACTTAGTTATTAGCATATTTGTAATGTTTCCCTAACTCTATCAGTCTTACTTTCGGCAGTTTTCTCTGGTTTAGTAAAATGAAAACTTGGTATGAATTGTTTCAATAATCAACGAATAAACTTATTAAAATTAAACAAGTATACAAGTTTTTCCCTCTCAGCGATTCCTACTTGTTATACGCTATGTTTAAAAGAATGACGAAATGTTCGCAACCCTCTATCCTTAGATTGTGGGAAAATATATTTGCCTCCTGTGGTTGCATGATGCTCCCATGGTTCTGATTTTTTAAATCGTGATTCTATCCTGATCCTATAAGCTAAAATGATGAACCAAAACACACCTTTCATTTCTAAGGCGTTTTAGTGTTTCTACTTCTGTCAACAAGTCCATCATTAGGCACTTTCTAGTATTACATTCTTCCTGACTGGAAAATTATCAATATCACAGCACTTTCCTGCTTGTTACATTCTGTCGACCCCTGTTGGAGCAACACTGAGACTGCAACCGGAAAATTTTCCTGCGAATAGCGATCCGACGCAGGCTATTTGTGTTTTCCATCGGGTCAACGTCATTTCCCAACTTTGCGGTCGATTGTAGAAACTGTTTTCCGCGTTTTGCACAGATGGAGCTTTTAAGATGTTTTAGATCAATCATTGAATGAATTCTAGCGTTTTCAATTAACGATTAGACATTTTTATTTCTACTCCATATCACTAGGACCAATATAAAACAAAGGCATGTTAAAATGTACATATATACAGAGTGTTTCGAGAGGAAAACGAAATATTTGGGGAATGCATTCAGAAGGTCAAAATAAGGTAAATCAGTCCATGTGGTTTCATCCGATTCTTAATCGTTTCTGAAATGAAGGGGTTTTTAGTTTTTACCATCAATTTGTGTATATGAAACTGGATTTTTTTTATCAGGGTAAAAATTAATTCTGACCGAGGGGAAAGTTTAAATGCGGAAAATAAAGAAAATGTTCTGGATATGGCTGAAGTGAATTCAGTACAAGGCGTATTAGCGATGAATGCGGCTTAGTTCACCCGCAATGGAATCGAAAATATCACTATGAACATCGGGGGTTTTATCAAAACCTTCATACCACGTTTGAACAAAACTTTGAAATGAAGAGTTTTTAGTGTTCAAAAATTCTAAATTAAAGGGATTTTTCGCGTCTTAAGCGGACACATAATTTTTGGAATAAGAAAAATGTTTTGCTTTCGGCAGGACTCGAACCTGTAACCTTCATGAAATCCCTTTCATTTAGAATTTTCGGACACTAAAAACTCTTCATTTTTATATTTATAGCCCTGGTGGAAATCCAAAGCAGTTTTCTAGTAGGAATTGGCCACGCTTACTAGGCACTGGGTAGGAATTGGACCCTTTTCCTTAGCCCGTAATATTACAATAATGAAACGTTTTTTCTAACCTTTCTCTAGTAATTAAAATGGGCTAGTGAAACTAGGTATTTTTAGACCAAGATTTAGAAGAGATTATTAAAAATGCCCAAATATATCTAGTACTGCCCCATTACATGGGAAAATCGCGTTTAATATGTTATATAATATGCGTTTCGGCCCGGAAAAATTTTCAACCTCTCTTCGTTAACATTTTGTGCTATTTTTTGTGGAAAATATATTGTTAATAGGAACAAACCCATCCATCATTTTTGGAGCTACGTTTATTGAATAATACATAACCAACATTAAAAAAAATAGTTCTCGAAATAAGACGATAAGAAAAAAAATAGACTTTTGCCTACTGTTAATATTTCAATTAGTTTTAAGGTGTAAGTCGGAAAGCAGATTAGTTCTGAAGTTGTCCGATATGTAGTTGCAGGCTTTTTGCGGCAAAAATCTAAAGAAAAACACTATTAGAAAACCAAATCCCACATGTTTTATACAGAGTATCCCGAAATTGTTGGTCAAAATATTTTGATAATTGATAATAACGCTAGAATCATTACTAATATTTCATAGCTCTTCTTTCGTGTTAAGAGGAGTAGAGAAAAACAACGTTCTGAGCTGATCGCAAAGAAAAATTTTAAAGGGTTTATGTTGGGAGACCGGGGTGGCGCAGAAATAAGGCATTTCCGGTTACTGCTTATTTGGATATTATTACTTTTACCACTACAAAAAGAGTTTTGTTTCAAAATCCGTTAAATATATCGAAAAGTGCACAGTATATCGTTTTCGTAGCAAAAATGGGCATGTCTAACCACTGTGTCATATTTTCAATTTTCAAATTTTGCAACAGCGTTAAATTTGCACTTATCATAAAATTAATTTTGATTGTACCTATACAATAACAGAATTTTGTAGAAAATTGACAATTCCTCCTGGCGCCTATCTACCAGCTGCGTTTTTAACATAAATTTTACAAACTCCAAATTAACGTTGTGATTATTAAGAATATATTCCAATTTTCAAGTTGTCATTTTGCGAACTCACAAGGAGGACAGATCGAAAACAATGTATATGAAGTACTGGCTTTATTTTCCGGTCTCCTGTTCTTGCTCTCATTATTGACGTACCATTTCGGGACACCCTGTATATCTACTCTTTATTAAGTTGTATAACTATATTAGTTGTATGATCCTGAGTTGTTCACGTCTCAATTATAATTCATTGTTATAGGTATACTTTTTCTAATTTCTCCTTAGGAACGTGTACTCAGATTTTAAATATATTATATTATAAGTTGAATACGCTTCTGCAGTGTCAATTTTGTTACCAGTTTGTTTTCCGTTTGCGTTGTTCGAATTGCAATAAGTCACAACTAAAATTTTAAGATTCCTTATGCTTGACACGAAAAAGCGTCTTCAACTACGGATAAAATTCGATACTCTTTTTTAGCTCAAACCATCTTTCTATATCGCGTTAAATGACGTGTAACTTCAGCTTCATACAAAGTCAATGAAAGTGAGAAAAAGATGTGATAATTACACTAATTGTGTTTAAATCACCTGGTTTTTAGTTTCATTACAAGTCCTATATCTGTAGGAAGCAAAACGTTTCTTCTGTTGGTGGTCTGAGCCTCAAATATTGCATCTGCTACAAACTGAGGCTTTAACACTGGAAAAAGCAGTTCATAGGAAATTTCATAGTTTGTACATAACCCGGTGTCCACCATAAAAGGGTATACGGTTGTAAAATTGACATTGTTATTCGGGTATTGCCTAGAATGAAAAACTCTTGAAGTTCAAATGTTTACTGGTTGTATCTATGTAAACAAAAATTAATTGTTGAAGTTGTACCTGAACTCTTCATATAAACCTTCCATAAGTCCACGCACAGCAAACTTGCTGGCATTATATGGAACAAGATTGATCAGTCCTACGTATCCCGCCATTGAGGAAAGGGACACGATGTGACCATTGTTTTTTTCTCTCATCGTAGGTAGAAATGCTTGTAATGTCTAAAAATAATTTTACTGTTTTATTGCATTTTTTTCACTTCGCAAAATAAGCATTTCTAAAATTCCAAATTCAACAACACGTAGCCAAACAGCCACGTGTGAAAATTATGTGTGTTCAACCGAATTACAGCTTAACATGCCGATTGTTGTGTTTTTATGGAATGAAGCTACAATATGTAGTAATCAGACCCAAATATGGATGATTTAAATATGTAATCAAATATTTACATGCACGGATTACGTCAACATAATTAAATGAAATGATAGCATGAATGAAAATCACAAGATTTATAAACATCATATTCAATTTATATTTACAGGCTGTTCGAATAACGCATGCGAGATTTTAACTACATATTTGGTATTCAAAACCCCATGAGAATGTCATATAATGCACTATGAAAGAAAGTTTATAGATATGCCATTCAAATATCGGTTGATTTTGTCATTTACATGTATTGAAAATGTTTGGATACTCGAAAAATGTAAACTTTTCATAAGACGCCCCTTTTCACTTAAAAACTATATGACTTCAGATATAATACATAGAATAATTAAAAGTTTATAGTAGTTTGTTCATTTACATTCTACTGACAGTCAAAATCAATTCTGAATTATGTCCTCAATCAATTGTTGTTAAAAACTTTTATTATAACTTTTCTCTGTGTGTACTTTTAAAGATTGCAGCCTAGATGACACATTTGCACAATAGTATAACAGAAATTTAAAAATTTCTTGTTTTTTTGGGATGTACCTTCTCATTTGATTGGTCAAGACCACTCTGTATAACAATATTAAAATAACTAATTAAATTATTGAATAGAAAAGCAGTTTATGCGATTTGTGCAGATAGAAATTATATTGGACGTTAGTCTACGTTATACAAGCATTTAAAATAGTATAGTTTCAAATTTTCGTAAAATTGATCGATTGATAAATTTTAGCCTCCGTGAACTATGCCATACAGGGTGATTCAAAATTGGAGTCATTTCTTTTAAGGGGTAATAGAGGCTACCTTGGGGAGAACGAGAAAAATATTTTAAAAAAATTTTTCGAAAATTTCTAGACGATATTAACAGCTGAAAATCAATTTTTATCATTGTTATTAAGCATTATTTTGAAATTGTTCCATGTTTAATTGGTAGCATATTGGAATACTTAAGCATTCAAAAATAAAAATTACGATCTTTGCTTCAAATTACGAAAATTTTTGATATAAAAAAAGCTCTCTTCTACAATTTTTTGATGAAAAGGCACAGCGGCTATGATGTTTTTTGTCATTAACAGATAGTTACAGGTGGCTAGCCCTTATTAATAATAACAATAATTTGTCAAACTGTGGCTTACTTTGAATTTCCTTTCAAGAATTTGCGGATATGCGATTAGTTCAGGGCAAATCTACAGTAACATAGCAGAACCTGAAAGAACTCACTATAACAAAGGGCGAGGAGAGTGGTTCCAGGAAGCTAGTGGTCGGCAATAGATGTTCGGGTTCCAGGCACAAACGAACAAGTATTGGACATAATCGAATCAGGGAATTCGAGGGGTACTCAGAGCACAGTAACTGACACTATCCCAAGCACCAAATAAATAGCGAGTAAAGGCTACATTCCTACCACGTTTGTACGATGCACACAGCACAAGGAGATACAAATGGAGCAGGAGTTAATTCACTGAATACGAGAAGCAGCTTGATAAGAGTGGATAATAAGGAGATTACTCAGGCACTAGCTTGTTTGGAGTTAACCATTGAAATGTTTGGTGTTGTATGGTTGATTTATAAACACCAATGATCGAGGTTATGAGAAAAGGTTAACATTTCGAAAGTACGTTGCGCAGTAACAAATCTTGTTGATTTTACCGTTTATCCTTGTCTCTTTTGTTGTAAGTCTGTATAATTTGATGGTTACCGGAGTTTTAAATAATTACGAAGCACCAGGGATTTGCACAATGTTAATTAGGCAGATTACCTTGAAAAACATTGCTGCCCTATTTCTAATATAGTTTTTTGGAAATTTCTCAGTTTTTAATAACAATTAATTTATTTTACTATTTTTTCTGTACTCCTATAACAGCGCCAGACAACACCTCCAGAGGAATGACGCCAATTTTGAATCACCCTGTGTATGCAATATAATGAACTATTATTAATGTATCATCAATTGTACCTCAAGCCATTACGATGTTGTAATAAGGCTAACTTTGTCGATAATTTTACGTCTGTTTCATTTCTATCATATGGCCACAAGTTTCATATGTAATATCGCAATAATTTCACATAAGACATTTTTTGCGAGTTACTCTGAAATGTAATTATATGAAAATAATATTTTCCGAATTCCTTTAATTCCTTCGAGTTTTCCAACGGTGTACAAGCCCTTAATTGAGCATTCATATCTTATATCATAGCATTGTTTGAAACCCACAAACAGCTGCACTTGATTCCAGTTAGTACGCAATGTTTACTTGAAAGAACCGATGAACGAAATACGAGAAACGAGGCGGAAATCAACAACTGACGTAATATTTTAATGAGGATGCGGCAACATAATTAAAGCAGATTTCCAGATCACAAATAAAATGTCATTCTACAAGAAGTTGGAAGATGCTGATTTTAAAAGAAACCTGACAAAAACAGTTAATTAAAAAATAAAAAACAACTCGGAACTTACTCCTTCTGCGCGAAGAATATTTCTTGTTTTAAATGATTAAGAAAATTTCCGATCAACAAAATTTGCTATTTTAAACAAGTTACTTCTCATAACTCACATCAAGACCCGTGTTAGTGTATAGTGAATAATTTATAAAGTGAGTTACCCAAAAGTTTCCCATGACGTTAATATCCATTATTCTCCGTATTTCCTGCTCGGTGTGGTCTAGGAACGAATGGTGCGGCATTATACCTGCATTGTTTATTAAAATAGTAACATCGCCGATATCTTGCTGAATTTTCTTTGCCGTATCCATTACCTCTTGTCGGTTCGAAACGTCTACCCTGGAAAATAAATACTTTCGTTAATATATGTGTGTCAACTAAAAGACATATTACTGCTTTGGTATTAGTGATGGAAGCTAAAACCGAAAATTTAGCTGAATTTGGATTTTTAAATAATGTGGATATACGCTTTGTGGAATTGAATTCATTTGCTCAGTAAACAAGTGCAGTTCAAAAATTTAAAAAATGCTGAACAAATACCATAGCTTTATTTTCTATTACAATTTCAGTGAACCTACATAAATCTGCTATTCAATTGACATTCTATTGCATGCATATTTATTCAGATATGTTATTTTCCAATATTTCCATACATTCCAGACATGTCTGTCGGATCACAATATGAAACTGTAGCAGCTTTATCAAAGGATTTGTACAATATAGGCAAAGGAATGTCACGAGGCACTTTCGAATCGTCTTATGCCTTTCACTAAACGCTTTTATGCGAACAGTTCATTTCGAGATTTTATAATAGCAACAATTAGCTGTTATAATTTTCCAATTAGTTGTACTTTTTAAGTTCAGCTTTATTTCGATCTGTCATTCAGGAAATATGCCTTAATTTGTAAAGTGTCTTATGCTTTTAAATCGTGTTTATTACATACTTAAATCCGTAGGCTGTTGGATATCCCGATGAGTTAATTGTCTGGATTGTCTCATTATTCAATTTCTCATTTACATCCCATCCAATAACACGAGCCCCTGCTTTAGCATATTTAAATGCCAACAATTTTCCAATTCCATGTCCAGTACCAGTTATCTGCAAAATAGAGAAATTTTTGAAGATTAACAAATTTAATGCAGTGATCAATAAAACTCGTTCAATATTTACAGACTATTGAGATGTTTTTGCATCAGAGTAAAGCTTCAATTCTATTTTTCTAATACGGAAATGAACTTATAGTTCAAACGGAATGGTGTATTACTCGATATAATTTGATAGCCCAGAATTGCTTAAAATGATATTTAGAAACTGAACAAAACGTAACAATCCTCCAACGGAAGATTGAAAACTAATACCAGCGGGCGTTTGCATGTTTATTCTAGTTTAGCAATGATGGTAAAATGCAAGTAATGGTTCAACAACCCAATTATCCCGCGTAGATTCTGTCTGCCTTTGTCTAGATGGGTAGATAGAAGAAAGTAGAACTCCAAACACGAAGCTAATTTATGTCGGGGTTGAATGAAAAGAAATGTGAAATAAAACTTTATGCGGCTGCATTAATTGATTTTAATCAAAGTCTGACTCTAGAGTTGAAGTTTAATTATCAGGAAATCTGCTGAAGGAACTATCTGAACTGATAGTCCAATCTCCATCTGTCAATGTTCAAAAAACAGCTAGGCAAAAAGCAATAAATTGATTGTTTGTTTCTGAAACATTCATGTAACATAAAATTGCTAATAGATTCAATTTGAGTAGAGTAAATCAGAGGGCTAACAAATAAACCATCAAATTATTTAATTCCGTTAGATTTTTCAGCATACTCGTCTTATTTAAATTTAAAATTTATAGCATATTTATGGTAAAGTCTATACTTTAGCAGTTAATACATACCAATACCAGTTGTCCTTCTACTGACTTTCTTTGAGGATTTGACGAAAATATGGCTTCAATGATGAAATATGGCAGTAGGATAACAAAAAAAAAGAGCACATGTATAACTCCTTTAGCCCAGTCCAAAAATTCGTCAGTCGTTGCCCTAAAATAAATTAATTGTAAATAGTTAAGCGTGTGCTAAGCGTGTTTTAATTATGTGCGTTACATTCGAACTACGATAATGATTCAGTTTATAATTTTAGCAGACAGGGAAAATTGGTCGTTTTTACGGATTATCTCTTGAACCGTAGTAGAAACCAAGAAGCTGTGTGTGAAGTGTCCTGAGCTAGATTTGTGAGACAGAAAAACTGGCGCATTTCAATTTTTCCTCTTGCTACTTCGTTTTGTCCTGTACCTTACAGGGTAAAGTACAACTCAAATACTAGTAGAAAAACAAACGGTGAGTCCCAAAACAGTTGCAAGCTAAACATGTGTTTATTTCTAATGGGTCTCCGTGTATATTTTGATACAATTGCCGAACTTTCCCCGAGTGTATCCAAATATGATTCACAAATAAGTTTTTTACAACTATAAAGGGTTTGCAAGTATTGATGCAAACTAGCCGATTCGAAGATACATATTTCTCACATTGGACTGTTTTTGATAAAAATAATATTCTACAAGACTACTAGTCTAAAAACTACAGACCTGCTACATTACTCCCGGTGCTGGGCAAAGTTTTGGAACGCATACTAAAACAGAGGCTCGAAGAACTGATCGGAAACCATATGCCAATCTACCAATTTGGCTTCAAACAATATCACTCGACTATTCATACGCTATTTATTTTGACGAACAACATACAAACAACTCACCTAACCGACGGAAACTCGACATGTCTACTCATGGACATCAGCAAGGCTTTTGAAAGTGTCTGCCGGAGGGCTTACTATAAAAAACTATACAAACTCCACACACCACCATATCTACTCCACACCATAAAGAACTTATTAGAAAACAGACAACTACAATTACGAATTGACAACACAATCTCCTTTTCTTCTTCCCCTGAACAAGGGCTCCCTCAAGGATCCTCGCGCTCACCCTTTCTCTTCAGTATATACTGCCATGACATATACAATTACAATTTACCAGTCAAAAATCAAATTGACAAAACGGTATACGTATTGCAATACGCTGACGACGTGGCACTTATTGTACACGACAAAACTACTGAAAAAGCGAATGAAAGACTCCAAAAACTAGCAAACAGCACAATGACATAGTTTTATAAATGGAGACTAACACCAAACGCCACAAAAAACCAACTTCTACTCACGAACCACAGACTTAACGCTGACTCCCCTACAATAACTGTAGACGGTCAAACGACGCAACCGAAGAACGCGTTAGGTACCTTGAGATCACAATCGACCACAAACTCAAATTCACTAAACACACACGAAACATCAGAACAGAAACGATAAAAAGAACAAAACACTTTCGATCACTAACATA